GGAGACACCGACCAGAGCACATGGCTGCAGCGAAGAGGGTGTTGCGCTACTTGTGCAGTACGTCAGGCATGGGGCTAGTGCTTGGAGGGCGGAGTCAAGTGGTCCTCACTGGTCACGCAGACGCTTCTTGGGCTGACGACCAGGCTACGCAGCGGTCGTCACAGGGTTACACCTTCAGCCTTGGTTCCGGCTCTGTTTCGTGGCGGTCTACCCGCTCGTCTTCTGTTCTCGGCTCCAGCTGTGAGGCTGAGATCTACGCAAGGGCCATGGCTGCACAGGAGTTACGCTAGCTCATCTACCTGCTGACTGACCTAGGAGAGCCGCCTAGTTCTCCTCCAGTTCTGTACGTAGACAACAAGGCCATGCTGGCCTTGTGTCGGGAGCACAGACTGGAGCACAGAACGAAGCACATTGCTCTTCGCTACCTCCTTGCTCGTGAGCTGCAGCAGCGTGGTCAGCTGCGACTTGCTTACGTGGCCTCTCGGGCCAACACTGCTGATATCTTTACCAAGGCACTTCAGCCTTGTGATCATCAGCGCTTTTGTATGATGCTAGGTCTTGTGCCTACTTGGCCCCACTTGCTCACTTCTTGACCTTGCTTGTACTGTGATCTATCTATACCTGCACTTGCTTGTTTACCTTTATATATAATCTTGCATGTGAACTGACCTTGTGGCCTTGAACTTGTGCTCGAAATGTGTGGTGACATTGTGATCCACCCTGAGCTTACTGTGCTTTTCTTGACTGGTCTTGTGACCCCTTGCTCTCCCCCACTTTGCCTATGGGGGTGTGTCAAACATTCATGCTATAGTCTTTCTAGGCTGTAGTGGGGTAGACAGTATGGGGTACAGTTTCCTAGGGTTACATATTTGTACCCAACTCATTTCCTAGTCAACCATTCCTCGTTATTTCACAAATCTACGCTAAGCGAAATTCGCGAAACTTCAAACAATCAAGTTACATTAATGATTATGTTAAATCCACGTCGGATTTTCATGGGCAACTTATAGCAGTGTTTCTATGGCACGTGTGGGTTATTTTGTCTTGTGGGTGTCTGAAGTGCACAAAGTTGAAAACGGATGCCGAGTTTCGTCGAGGAACGTCGACGAAACTTTCGTCGGCAAACGTCGAAATTCACTTCAGACACGCCCTAGCGCATGCACCACGGCACATCGATCGTGCGAGCTGCAGGTGCCACCAATTTGGGTACCCATTTACTATACATTCTCGACGTGCAGCGAAAAACGGATACCAGGCATTGGCGATGTCGCCAATACACTGTACAAGCGGCACATCGATCCCCTCCCACGATCGATCCTGGCAAAATGAAAAGAGGTGCCGCGTCCTCAGTAACGGGCTTCGGTCGGGCGAGCAGGGCGGGAGAGGTGGGCGGTGCCGTGGTGGTGCAATGGCGGTGCCGTGGCGGTGTTATCGCGGTGCCAGCCAGCCTAGTTTTCCTCGCGTGGGAGGCAGAGCCTTTGTATGGCGGGGTGGGGGGTGGGTGGAGGGAGGGCGAGGATGAGGGGTTGAGAGTGGTTTGAGGATTCGTGTGCTGATGTGTGAGTGGATGGATAAGGGAGGCTGGTGTACGTCAATTCTGATTCGGTGAGCTGCAGTGATTGGTTCAGTAATTATTGGAGAGAGGTTTTCTTCGGTTCGGTGGGGTGCCTGGAAATGACGTGGATCGCTATTGTTCGTTGGAAGTGCAGGGTCACACGTTGGCTGGTTGGTACACCGACGTCAGTTCCTGGTGTGACAGCAAATTGTGTTCGCTTTCATGTTTGCGAGTTTCACGACTTCTGTTTCCCCAGTTTGTTGTTATCGTTTTGGTTCGCGAAGGCTCGCATGTTCTTCGTAATTGTTTAACGACTTAGGTTTCCAAGGGTGATCAGAAGCACCTCTAATGCAACGCCTTCAAACACTTCAACCAATCTCAATGCTGGCGGTGTTCGCCAGCACATTTCTAAGCAACAACGAGGGGATGATGACGGGATCAGGAAGGTAAGTCTCGCCTTCCTAATCCCGTCAGTTAGGTTTCGTTAACCTCCGTCAGCCTGGTCAGCCCATGAAAATGCTGCCGAGCCTCTTATGCCGTCCAAACCTCTTAGAAAAGTGAGGGCGTGGCGAACGCCCCCCAATTTTCACCCATTTCGAAATGCTTGACCGCACATGGAAACGGGGTCGCAGTTTCCTCCCCTGGCAAAAACCATCCCCCTGCAATGCCATCGCCATTCACCTATCCACGATGAATGGCGATGGCATGGTTGTGGCTTTGTACGGCAGAGGGGAACTGCGAAAGGTGGGGCTGGGGGTTCCATATGCGGTTTCGAATTTTCCCGTTTTGGGGATCAAAGTTTCGTGGGCCGCATTAGGCCCAGGCCTCTTGGGCGGGTTCCGCCTCCGTTTCCATGTGCGGTCACCATGCCGATGCCGTCAAAATGCCATATATTTTCGAATGTGCTGGCGAACAACGCCGCTATGTCGAACCCAACCTGTTTGCGATGCGACTAACAACTTCCTGTCACTGTGAACTTGCTCTTGCTTGACTTTAGTCAAGTGTGAAATGTCAAGGGAAGGTGACATTTGCCTTGTGATTTTCCGGAAGCTATGTGTGGTCAAGGACTTTTCCGTAGAAAAACCTATGGCGACCAAATTTTCGGGTTCGACTTTTCCGCGAGGCCGAAGTAACGACGGACATTGGCCTGCCTCGCGTGTCAGAATCCCAACCACTAGACCATTGGGATCAAAAGGGCTTGTTTCAGTAGCGGGTCAGTGCGCCCATAACCCCCCAGGCGAACGCGCCTGTAACCCTCTCCAGGATCAATCGGGCATCCACAGTGCAGATCTACTGACACCCCCCCACACTGGGAGGCCCAGGACTAAGCACAGCGGCAACGGCCTACATGTGCATACACCGGGAATCGAACCCGAGACCGCTCTAATACCATGTCAGAATCCCAACCACTAGACCATTGGGATAAAAGGGCTTGTTTCAGTAGCGGGTCAGTGCGCCCATAACCCCCCAGGCGAACGCGCCTGTAACCCTCTCCAGGATCAATCGGGCATCCACAGTGCAGATCTACTGACATCGCGCCCCTGATCTCGTGAGCAGGGCATGACACAACGAGGCCTTCTCATGGGCGGCAAAATCTGAAATGACATACACCCTCTTTCTCGCTACACTGGCAATGGGATTCACTGGCTACAATGCGTACTGTTGCTTGGAACGTAGCGGTCTGGTGCTTACAACCGAACTGCAGGTTGGTGACGGGCAAATGCTCTCCAGGTGAACAGTACACAGCGGTTTCCAAAAGGAAACTTGCTTAGGCGTACGGTTGAGTGCGGGCATACGTGCTTATATGGTACGTTCTGGGACCATCCTGGACGCATTGATGTGTGTACATCCGATCAACCAGTATAGCCAATGACAGTGTAGCGCGAAACAGGATGTACGTTGGTGCTGTTCGCCAGCAAATCGTTTCTTGAACAGAAAACGATGGCATCGGCATCGCGACCGCATCTGGAAACGGGGGCGGAACCCTACTCCGAGGTTTGGGCGTGATGCCGCTCCAGAAACTTCGCGCGCCAGAAAGGCGAAATTACGCAACCGCATCGGGAAGGTCCATCCCCACCTTCCCCCCAATAGCGCGAAAGTTTAGCCTCACTGACCCTTGTGCTGCCCGCTGACCAAAAATTGCTCAACGTGGGTAAAAAACGCAAATAAAACCCACCTCGCTCAAACACAACCCCCTCGAAAGTGTGTTCGGGAGGGGATAAATGGGAGGTATTCGAACGGGCCTTTGTCAAACAAATGGCTTGTTCAGAGGTTCCCCTCTGAACGGCAATGCGACGGCTGTGCCATCGCTGTGCTTCGAAAAATGCGGCATGGCGATGGCATGGCTTGGGGATAGATTTTTGCCTGGGGACGAAGTTGCGTCCCCGCTTCCATATGCCATCGAGCAGTTCGTTTTGGTGGACAAATGGGGGCGTTCGCCAGACACCCACTTTGATTGTTGGTTTGGACGGTTGGGGAGGCTCGGCACCTTTTTTACGGGCTGACCAGGCTGATGGAGGTAAACGAACCCTAACTGACGGGATCAGGAAGGCGAGACCCACCTTCCTGATCCCGTCGTTATCCCATGGGCCCTGTTCGGTAGCCTTCCAGTCACACTGGGCCCACTCGAACTGGGGAAGCCTACGACATGTTTCGTAGCCTCGGGCGTCCACTAACACTGAAAGGAAGTCTCGTCCACAAATGCAAGAAGTTACCGTGTGTTTCTCGAGAAATTACTGGTCGAAACTTTTACTTCTGTACGAGGCTGCCCAGATCACAAACAAAAAACAGCCCGCCAAATGAAGCACCCTCGATATGGATAAAAGAAAATCACGAACGGGCACGATCTCTCATCGTTTGAACGAGCGGGCTGAAAAACATAATTTGACCCGATTCGAAACTAATGCAGCGTTTACCCTACAGCGTGCCACTCAGAGAGGGCCTGCCTGAGTGGAACTGGAAAGCAGAAATGGGGTTGACTTTCACTGGCGGTCGAGCTTGCCTGAGCAAGCATTTTAGTGGTAGCGTCCTCAACTTCACTCGGACTGGGTTTTTCACGCGTTCGGTAGCCAACTTGCACTGGGCAGGTATGGTGTTCTAATAACGGTTTGGTGGGCTTTAAGGTGAGTCAAAATTGGGCGGAGGAAGAGCACCTGCACCAACCGCAGTGTGACTGGGGGGGCTACCGAACAGGGCCATGGTTTTTTGCTTCATTGGTGCTGGCGATGTGGCGAGGCGATTCCGAGCCCAACAAACGCCCACCGCACAAACGAAAACTTGACATTTCAACAGGCGTGAACCAGCTCCAATCTATACCAGGCGTCGTGAGGGTATTCTTACTCAACTTCCGCCATAAGCATGGTAGCTCATAGTATATTGTTCCTATCGTTGTGGATAGCACCCATTCCAAACACATCCATCCCCCTCCGAACGCCCTCTTTTTGCAATGAAAGCGCCCGGCTGGAATGTCGATATTAGGGGCGCCGCGATGTTCCTGCAGTACCTGCTGTCCCTGCTCTTGGGAAAGCCGTTTCCGCCGCCTCCGGAGCAGCCTGCAAAGCCGCGGCTCGTTCTGTTGACGAATAACTCCCTCGACGCGAAATGCCTCGACGGGAGGTAAGCTGCGGAAGAGGAAAGGGGAGGGAAAGGGGAAAAGCCGAGGGTGAAAGTGTGGGGAAGAGGACTCGGAGGGCGGCGGGAGAGGGAGCGGAGGGTTGGTAGTAGCCGTCGCGAAGGGGAAATGGGGGCATCAGGGAGAAATCAGGGGAACATAAAGGGAAAATAGGAGAGGAGGGGGGGAAAAGGGTACAAAACAAGGGGTTATAGTATTTCTGGACACTTTCGCGACGGGGTTGAAGTAAAATAATTCCGGAACAGCCTTTTTTTTTTATGCGTTTTGAGTATTCTCTACTTCAGTAGTAGGATGGAAGGGACACGAATCACCTCCAGCGCTCTTCACTCTCATGCTTGCTATTTCTTCTCGCGATCGTTTCTTCACAACACAAGAACGAGCCATCCCTGTTTGCCTTTCAGCAAGCGAAGCTACTCCCGCCACCGCTCACCCTGCTTACCACTCTTTACTGAAGTCTGGAAGGTGTGGGTCGGGGGAAGTAGTAAGCACAGGGTTACTACTCTTTTCTAAAGCACCCTGCTCACCCTGCGAAAAGAGTCTCTGAGGATGGTTTTAGGACAGACCTTTTCTAGCAACAGCGTTGCTGAAGCTGCAATGATGGAAAGATAACGGCAGTGGTGGCGGCAAGGCAAGTGTGCAAGTGGGGCGCCGCAGATCCCCTCCCTGCCCTGTAAACTACACACCACACCACACCCCTCCACCCCCACCCACCCATCAACCCGCCCCAACTGCTTCCCCCTACCAACCCGCCCCCTCCCCTCCCCCCCCCCCCCCCCACCTCCACCTCCCCTCCCCCCCCCCCCCCCCCCCCCCCCCCCCTCCACCTCCCCGCCCGCCCACCTCCCCCCCCCTTTCCCCCTCCCCCTCTTGCCTCCCAGCCCCCCAGGGTACTATTTCCGGGCGGGCACAGGGGTCGGCAAGAGAATGTGGCACATCAATCTGCCGGGCGGCGGATGGTGCAGCTCTGTCGCAGAGTGTGTCGCCAGGAGCAAGATGCTTTACGGCAGCAGCACGTTCTACCCTGAAGTGCCCACCCGCATAGTATGACGTGTTGTGTCGCCAGGATTGATTTGACTATCGGGAGTCAAATCAAGAAAGACCGGTGACCGAACCGAACCCAACCCACTGGCGAAGTACCACTAACCCCTCGGCGATATCTTCAAGGAGAAGAGATTGTTGAACGTTGGATGCGCAATTGGGTCAGCGTGTGTAACATGTAACAGAACTACGAAAGGGTGAATCTTGTCACTGGCAGTTTATAGTGACCAGCAAGCCTATAACACAGTCAGAATTCTATATCAGTCTATATGCAACAGCATCCCCAATGCACTTTCGATCCTTCCCCCTCCCCGCCTTCCACATCCCGCCACCCCCACTCCACTTTTCGCCGTTTTTCATTTTCCTCCCCTCACTGCCATTCCCCCTCTTTTCCTACCCCATGTCTCTACCCCCGGCCGTTCTCCCCAACCTTCACTGGCACTCGTAGCAGCAACAGCAGCACCGACCAGCCCAACTTCCCTTCCCCTCCCCTCCTCCAAACCTCCCGCTCTCCCTCAAACCCCCAGCTGCCCTTGTCCCGCTTCACATGCATCCTCAGCAGCAACAGCAGCTTCGACCCACGCTTCACTCTTCTATTCTAAATCAGGCCATCCACTGTATTTTCCCCCTCCGTTCTCCCCCAGCCCCCCTTCCCCCGCTTCGCAGGCTTCCTTTGCAGCAACAGAAGCAGCAACCCACCCTTCCACAACTGGAACCTCGTTCGTCTCATCTACTGCGATGGTGGCGGCTATTTGGGAACGGCGGGGAGGCTGGAGGTTAGAAGAGGCACCGTTCTTTACATGGATGGGTGGAAGATCGTCCAGTCGGTGATCGAGGGTGAGTGACTAGTTAAGAGGCGTGCGAGAATGAGAGTGAGGGGAGTAATTGGTTCAACATGAGAGAGAGGGCTGTTTGCAACAGAATGAGACCGAGAGGAGCAATTGGGGCAACATGAGAGTGAGAGGAGTGACTGGGCTCGAGAGTAAGGGAAGTGATTGGCAACCTTGCACTTCCCCTCTTCCTTTCCTCCCGCATTCCCCATCTTCTACTCCCTTCCTGTTCCTCTCTGTTCCCCCCGTTCCCACTGTTCCCTTCTGTTCCCCTCTGTTTCTCTTTCTTTCTCTCTCTGCCTCTCTGTTTCTCTATGTTCTTCTCTCTTCCTCTCTGTTCCTCTTTGTTCCATAATCCTCTCAACTCCTTGTCCAAATGCAATCAGATTTGAAGTCGAAGGGCGAGATCCAATCTGCAACGCATATCCTCCTCTCGGGCACCTCAGCGGGTGGCCAAGCATCTCTCAGTCTCTGCGATCGCATTGCTGCCACCTTTCTGTGGGCGGCAACTAAGTGCTTGTGTGACTCGGGCAACTTCATTGGTGAGATGGCTGGGTGCCCCAGTTAGGTGACAGCAAGAGACAAACTTAAGGCAACGGAGACGTTCATTGAAATGATGTTACTTTGGAGTCGACTCAAAGCCCGGCGGTGACTTCCGACAAGTTTTGAAAAGCTTGGGTTGTAACATTTGATCTAGTTCTCTGCAAAGGGCTGCCTCCCATTTGGGCTTCGTTGTAATGAGAGTGTCCCTAACTAGCCTCGTTGTGTGTATGCGTGTGAGTGAGTGCGGGTGCATGTGCGCGCACGTGCGCGTGTACACATGGCGTAATGCTGTGAGGAACATGATTGCTTCTGAGGCGCCTCAACTTCCCTCGCACACCCCCCTTCCTCCCTCCATCTTTTTCCAACTTGCCCTGCCAGACTCCAAGGACCGAATGGGGGGGAACACATGGCGTGACAAAATCACAAACATGGTTGCTCTGCACAAGCCAACCTGGCCTGCTTGCCAAGATGGTGAGACAAGATGCATTGCTGTTAGAGATGTGTGGATAGCGGTTACATGGTTACCGCATGGTGTGACACTATCAAGAACATGATTTCTCTGCATAAGCCAACCTGGCCTGCTTGCCAAGTTGGTGAGAGACGACGGGCGGAGAAAAAATGGGGAAGGGAGAGGGGAAGGAGTCACAGGTGATGAACAAGTTCTTTTCAAACCCAGTGCCCTCCTTCCGGGTTGACTCAATATAATGACTTGTGAGTCGGCTCACATCGTCTGGTTTTGCATCGACTCATATATTACTTTCTGAGTTTACTCCAGGGTATCCCCCGTTTTCTCTTGACTACCTCCCTCTTGGAGCTGACTTGATGCTAACTTTTGTTTTTTCCCTGAATATCTCCTGTTGTGAGTTTACTCACATGCATCCCCTGTTTTTTTTTTTACTATCTCCTCTTTTGAATTTACTCAACTGTACCCTCCGTTACCTGTTGACTATCTCCCCCTAATGAGCTGACTCAAAGGTATCTCCTGTTTTTCACACTCCTTTGTAAGCTACACCTAATCCCCTCCTCCCTCACCCATCAACCCCTACCCCCTTTGACCCCCCAGCCTTACCTGAGACCGAACATTGGAAGTGCTTCTTTCCGCAGTACACTCTGCAGCTCGTTACAACCCCCACATTTATACACGACAATTTATTCGACTACAGAGCCAGCCAGCATGGCGGACTGTTACCTTGGAACTTCACGTATGCATCTCTATGCTTACGTGAAGTTGTGCGGATCAACGATGTCACAGGGATTGTAAGGAGAAAGGAGTGGGACGGGATACAGTGGAAATCAAACTACTGTACAGATGGTGAGAGAGAAGCACTGTTTGCTGCGGCGTCTGTGCTCTGTGAGGAGCTGGAGAGTGCTATTGAAAGCAAAGATACTGTAGTTGCTTTTGTGCCAGTTGCAGTTAAACATGTTATATTACCATGGGACACTTGGATTAAACAACAGATTGGGGAAATTACTCTAGCTTCTCACATAGTAAACTGGTTTATAGGCAATGTCTCTGATCAATTTGTGCATATGTAAGCCTACATAATACGGTTCCTTTTTTTTCATCTTCTCCCCTTGCTAGTGAACTCATTCCGCTGTTTCTGCTTTGACATGATATCATCGAGTAGGTTCTCTTAGGACCAGGGCCTCAGATTCGTTTTTCGCTTGGCTGATACATCAGACTTAGCAGGCTATGCTAGGCTGATCAAACAGAGTTGGTTCAAAAAAAAAAAAACTGAAATTTCAGACAAGTCACACAAAAAAACGCTGACTAATCAGCCTCACTAAAAACGCTGAGGGGAATCACAGCCACCGCCACCTAGAGCTGCACCAGATTGGGGTAGCTTTCCCGCCAGTCTAGCGTCTTGAGGATCGCCGTTAGTCCGCTGTGGAAGCCCCTCTCTTCCTTGGGGGCACGTGCAAGGACTGAACAAAAGAGGCGAAGCTCCTTGCCTGCCAGCTTCTTGTCGATGCCTGGTAGAAGGGAGGGAGAAAGGGTGAAGAAGAGGCAAATGAGCAAACAGAACAAAGGATTCTCTGCTATAGGGATGAAATCATGACTTCACAAATATGCCATAACGAACGTGGCAAGATCTCCTCACGGGTGAGCAATGCAGTGAACGGAGACAAGGTGCGGGATTTTCTGTCGCAGTCGGACAACCAAGCCGGCCTTAGACCCCATCATCACTCTTGCGCCGTCAGTGCTAATGCCGGAAATCCACTGCAGATCAACACTGACTGCCTGCAAGTGGGAAAGCAGGATGGTCAGAAGAGAAGAAGCGTCCGCCTTTTCCACCGTGATCAGCTGCATGAACTCGGTCACAAGGACGTTGTCGCGGATGAACAAGGCGTACAGGATCATGTGCTTCCCCCTGAGCCGATCCGTGCTTTCGTCGATGCAGATGCCGATGAAAGGGCTTGTTAAGATGTGCTCCAGCTGAGTTGTCTGTAGCCAGGTAGCAAGGGCCTGCGTGAGCTCACCGAAGCCGTACCTGCCCGCAGGGAAAGCGAAGACAGGAGATCAGAAGTTGGGTAAGGTAGGCACATCACAAAACACCAACACAATACAAGGGCGACTAATACTCACGATGTGTAGTAGGTGCCATATCCCTTCTTAGGGAAGCCCTGGACACCCTTGCGCGCGAGGTACTGCACCAGCTTTACCCATGTTCCCATGGGCACATCGCAGGAACTGACGAAGAGCATGGAGTCGACAATGCCATGACTCGGTTCTTCTGAGCATCGACGGCGGCTCGATGTTGGTCGATCCGTGGCTGCTTTGAGGCCGCGTTCAGCAGAGCAACCTGCTTCTCCATCGCCAGCCTGTGTTTCGTCGTGCCGGCGTGCTTGCGAAACACCTGCGTCTGCATGTCAGTCGCCCCTCGCCCTGTCCGGCCACATCGTCCCCTGACTCCGGCATGCTTGGTGCAGACACTGCACTTAAAAGCAAGGAAACCGGATTTAGATTTGGTTAGCACAAGCCACGGGAACCTCGCTGACCACTTAGTTTTATACTTCAAAAGAGCGTCTGCATAGACTGCTTCAATAGCCTCCGAAATGTCTATGAGCAATGATGGACGAGGGGATGTGTTGTTCACGACACGTTGCTCGACGGCGGTGCTGGAAGATGGCTTTGCCCAGCTCAGCGTCGACTGCTTCAGCTTGAAGCTGCGCGGGGCAGAGGACCTCGTTGTAGGCAACTCGACAACCACTGTGTCGGAGACGGCAGCCGGCGCAGCAGGCTCACTCCGGATGGAATCCGGGCTTGAAGAAACCATTGGGTGGTCGCGGTTCATCCTCTCGACTGGAGCAGGCTTTGTAGTAGTAGGCCAAGGAGCAAGGACACCAGGGCCAAGCGAGCGCAGGAGCATATCAAGCCCCGCCCTAGCTTCCTCTAGGCCGTCTAGTTCATCATCGGAGCTATCCATGCCTGCATCATCATCGCAAGCTAGGCCTTCTGCAAGGCCGGCCATGGCGGAAAGGGGAGAGCATGCTGAGCTAGGGTTTGATAAAAACCAGGGCGAGAGGCGGGGATTGACAGTGCAGCTCGCCTGGTGGGTGGGTACGGTGTGGTCATCAAGAGAGAGCCATAACAGAAGGCCCTCTTGTTCTCACCACCCAACTACAACGCGGCGCGACGTGGGGCACGCACTTGGATGCAGGTTCGGTGTGGGTGAGATGGGGTGAGGTGGGTGTCCTTGTTGTGAGTGCGTGCGGTGCGTTGCTGTGCTGCACTGGTGGTGGGTGATTGGCCCATAAGGGATGTGATTGGTTAAACAACCAATCACATCAATTACTGCATTCTGTCGGGGACAACGAAGCAACCGACGCGTCGTGAAAAAATCGTTTTCCCCCATGTCGTCGCTGTACATGGCAACAGTTGCATGATTGACGGTGGATGTACCTGGACAGCCGAAACTCACGGCTCCAGCACGAATTTGTAATAGCGTGAATTCAGCTTACACTCTCGTTACAAGTCTGATCAATCAGCGAACACTTGTAAAAAATGTTAGAATAAGAACGAGGAATGAATTGACTAGGAATGAGAAAGGTACAAGTATGAAACCCTAGAAAAGCTGTACCCCCTATTGTCTACCCCACTACAGCCTACACAAGCTATATCATATACGTCTGACACACCCCCATAGGCAAAGTGGGGGAGAACAAGGGGTTACACGACCAGTCAAGCAAAGCAAAGCAAGCTCAGGGTGGATCACAACGTCACCACACATTCCGAGCACAGGTTCAAAGGCCACAAGGCCACTATTCCAACGCACCATTAGCCACAAGGCCACTAGCCACAAGGCCACAAGGCCACTATTCACACGCACCATTAGCCACAACGCCGCAAGGCCACTAGCCGCTTGATAGAGCTTAGAAGCACGATTCCAACGCACCAAAGATTGCAGGAAACGGTCCACTATAGCCAGAGATACACACAAACATAGCAGTGATGATGACTAGGTTGATTTCTGGTTTGTGCTCTCTGGTTCTAAACTAGGACGCAATACAAAATAAAAGCACACAAGAAAGTGTCGACCCGGGTCGCACGTTGAATTTCGTCGACGCGAAATTCGGAGCCTTGAATTTCGCCGAGCGAATTCCATTGACTGGAATTCCGTAGACAAGAATTTCTGCGACAAGAATTCCGTTGACCACCGACTGTAACTCCCCTGCGAATTCCGTTGACTTCAACACTTCGCTGCCGAGTTTCAAACCGAACGCGACCCGAGATCGATTTCGCCAAACTGTCCCCAAACTATCTCCAATCTGTCCTGACAAGACACTTTCGGGATACTTGAATCGAAAGGTCTCCAGTTCGAAACTCGTGTGCACCATAACCAGCGCCTTAGGAGAAACTGTCCATCTGTCCTGAGACACTTTCAGGACAGATTTGAAGGTCACGAGTTTGAATCCCAGCGCAGACATTTTGTTGCTCATGGCAGCATTCCTTCTAACACGCCCCCTTGCTGTCAGGAGCACGCTGGACCAGCCCGGCTGCTGCACAGCATCGGTTGAAGGCTGCCTTGTCGAGCCGCTTCGTGAAGAAGTCCGCGGGCTGCGCCGTCGTAGGGATGTGCTGCACCTCCAACTTCTTCATGCACACCATGTCCTGTAGCCACATGTGGCGACGGTCCACATGCTTCATGCGCCCGTGCAGCCCGTCCGCCTGGCTGAGCTGCACTGTTGACATGTTGTCGACGTACAGGGTGGTGGGGACACCCTTCTTGAGCAGTTGAATCTCCCACAGCAGGAACCTTAGCTTGCGCCCCTCCTTTCCCGCTTCCACCGCAGCCACAAGCTCACTCTCGGTGGAGGAAAGTTTGGTTGCACCCTGTAGCTTCTTGGCCTTCCATGAAATGGCAGCTCCGCCAAGCTTGAAGAGGTAGCCTCCCGTGGACGACCGGTTCTCCTTGTCGCCTGCATCATCCGCATCCGCATACCCTACGAGAGTTAAACTCTCTGGTCCTCCCTTGAACAGCAGCCTCTTGTCCGGTGAGGCAGCCCAGTAGGAGAGTGTGCGGAAGAGCTCATGCCAATGCGCATCGGTCCTGAGGTGTGCACCTGCTGCAAGGCGACTGCATGCAAAAGAGAGGTCAGGACGGGTTGAGATGGCTGCAAACTGCTCCATGCCGAGAATTGACAAGCTCGGTCATGGTACGGTTGGCAAACTGCCCGGCATCCTGCTTGGCAAAGCTGGCAGAGGAGAGAGGATTGATCGGCTGCTTCTTTGGTGGCGCCCCCTTGAAGAACCGCTGCTGCACCTTCGCCACGTACGCATTCTGGTGCAGGAAGAGTGTCGTGTTGGGGCGATCTTGCTCAATCTGCAGCCCTAGGTAGCGCTCCACTGGCTCCACCTCACGGAGCTGAAATGCCTTGGCCAGCAGCCCTTTCAGGTCCTGCAGAAGCTGCTGGTCTTCACTTGCCGCTAGCAGGTCATCCACGTAGATTAGCAGCCACACGCGCTTTCCGCTTGCCCCATCCTTGTAGTATAGGGCCTGGTCCACAAGGCTCTTCTTGTACCCCTCCACAAGGAGCACCTTGTCCAGCTCCTTTTACCACAGAAGGGGACTCTGCTTTAGCCCGTAAAGGCTCTTCTACAGGAGGCACACCTTGCTGCTACCGTCGGTGAAGTAAGGCGGCTGCTGCATGTAGATCTTGTGGTCGATGGTGCCGTGAAGAAAGCATTCTTCACATCAAGCTGCAGCAAATCCAGGTCCATAGCTGCTGCGATTGAGAGGAGCACGCGAACGGTGGTGTAGCTGCCAACAGGAGCGTAAGTCTCGTCGTAGTCGACGTTGAATCGCTGGCTAAAGCTTTTAGCCACTAGCCTGGCCTTGTACTTCTCCACAGTGCCATCAGACCGTAGCTTCTTCTTTAGCAGCCACTTGACGCCGACGGTTTTGCGACCTTCAGGTAGGTCAGCTAACGTCCAAGTGCCTTGCTCATCAAGGCTCTCCATCTCTTCCTTCATAGCAGCCCACCATTCCTTGCCTTCAGGTCCAGTCAACGCAGCTGCCAGGTCGAGGATGACACCTCCCCAAGCACCTTCCTCCTCCTCATCCTCGTCCGGGTACTCCACTTCGTCATCGCTGTCCGTGTCGCACTCGTTCTCAGCAAGGTATGCCACGTCGTACGGGTTGTCCTCATCATCCGCATCCAGGGCCGTCATGGCTGATGGCTGAAACCGTACGGGTGGCACCCCCTTGTTAGGCCTGCTGGAGCGACGTGGGAGTGGTGGAATGGGCTGGAAGGGGGGAACTGCAGGTGAAGGCTCATGCTCATGGGCCATTGGTGACTGCTCATCCACTGCTACTTCTTCTTCTTCCTCCTCGTGATCAGCCATGCTGGTGTCAACCTCCAGAGGACCATCCTCTGGTCCTGCGGGCGCCGAATGAGCAACGGAGGGTGGACCAAGAGGAGGAGGTGCAGTAGGTGCCTTGCTGCCCAAAGGGCCCACCGAGCGTTCAAGGGGTTTCTCGCCCCCTTGCACAGACGGTACCTGGACCACGATGACGGTACGTGGTGGCGGCGGATTCTGCTCGGGGTCGTGGGGCTCAGGGAAGAGAGATGGGACTGAAGCAAAGGGTGGTGTGGGCTGGTCATTCCCGTCACCCACGCGTGCACGCCACTTCTGCCACCGTTCAAGTGACATGTCCTCATAAAAACGTGCATCCCGGGTGATGACCATGCGCTTTGACTCAACATCCACCACACGCCATCCCTTACTTTCCATGCTCATGCCCAAATGAATGCCCCAACGAGTCTTGCTTGCAAGCTTCCCCTCACGCTCATGCTCAGGAATGAGGTACTGCACCATGCACCCGAACACACGGACCATGTACACATCGGGCTTGACTTTGAACACCACCAAATGAGGGGTCACACCATGGGGCAGGGTGGATTGGTGCACGCGGTTTACCACCCACAAGAACTGCTGGAAAGCGAAGTGCCACCAGTGTGCTTTCACCCCCATGTGCCCCAACATCACACGCATGCCCTCGGTTACCGTACGGTTGCGGCGTTCAGCCACACCGTTCTGCTGGGGGGTCGAGGGGCAGGAGAGTTGACGTAAAATTCCTCGTTGCTTCAGCAGCAGCAGAAACTCATTCGACATAAACTCCCCTCCCCGGTCCGACCGCAACACCTTCAGCGTCATCCCGGTTTGGCGTTCAGCTTTGGGAAGCCATTCCTTGAAGGCAGCAAGCGCGCCGCTCTTCAGCTTCAATGTCTTCCCCCAGGTGTAACGTGAGGCGTGGTCCACGAACAGAATGTAGTACTTGCTTCCATCCATGGCTGGGGTCTGAAACGGACCGCACATGTCAGTATGGACCAGCCCAAGTACCTGCTCCTCTCGCTCGTCGTGCAGCGGAAATGATTCACGAGTGAGTTTGGCTTCATGGCAGGAGGTGCACGGCATATCCTCACCTCCTTTCTCCAGGTCCATACCGAACACACCACCGCTCGTTGCTGTCCGCTTCACCGCATCGAAGTGGACGTGTCCAAGGCGAGCGTGCCACAGGTTGGGCATTGCCTCGGAGCCCACCGCGTACGCCTTGAGGCTGGCCGCTCCATCTTTAGCTTCCGGCTTGCTTGACGCCACATCAGCAATCTCCTTCGCCGTGCCGTTGCTTGCCGTTGCAGCCGCCGTGCCGTTGCATGCCGATGCAGCCCCTGTGGCGTTGCTCGCCGCTCCACCCGCTATATCGATGCATGCCGCTGCAGCCGCCGTGCCGCTGCATGCCGCTGCAGCCGTTGCACCATTCCTTGCTGGCCCCGGTTTCAGGTCAAGGCAGTGAAGGCGATGGCGGTATCGTGCCGTTGCAGCCACTTGACCTCCTGATGCGATGATGCGAGTGACACCTTCCTCGGTTTGCAGCTTTGCTCCCTTGTCCAAGAGCTGCCCAGGGGAGACCAAGTTGGCCTTCATTCCTGGCACAAAGAGGACATCATGTAGGGTCACACGCAAGCCGTTAGTGCCCTCCAGCAAAACCTCACCAACACCGGCAACTTCCTGCATAGAACCATCAAACCCTTTGACTGATTTCGTTGCAGATGGGTCGCAGATCACCGTGAACCACTCCTTGCGGCCGGTCATGTGTTGGGAGCATCCTGAGTCAAGGAACCACAAGTCCTTCTCGTCGGCCAGCAACTTTGCAGCCGAACACGCGACGGTGAGCGCCACGCCCTTCCCGTCTCCTTCAGCTACGTTCGCGGCTGCCCCGGGCGTTGTATCTTTCTTCTTGTTGGGGCACTTGGCGGCCATGTGCCCCTCCTCATTGCAGTTGTAGCAGCGCCCCTTGAAGGGGGCTCGCTTCTTCTCCCGCTTGCCATCCTTCTTCTTGTCCGTCTGCTCCCTTCCCCCTTTTCCTTCCTTCCCGTTGAACCCCGTTGTAGCCACGATGGTGTTGACAGCGCCTGAGAAAGCAGATGCATCGATGGTGATCTGCTTGTAACTCTGTTCGATGGAGAGAGTCTGCTCCTCCATCAACACCTCGCTGCACACGCGTTCCACCGTCATGTCAGGGCTGGAAATTTCGAGCTTGCGGCGAAGAAATCCGTACTCCGGTGGTAGGCCCTTCAGCACGTGGGCGGCAAACGTGGCCATGTGGACCTCCTGTCCAATGGTCAGCAGCTCCGCTCGGATGGTGCGGGCCCTATTGCAGTAGGATTCCGACGTCTCATCATCTCCCTTCCTGAGTTGGGCTAACTGGGTCTGAAGTAGGGAAGCGTGGAGGGCATCACGAACTTGATAAGTAGACAAGATATATGCCCATGCTAGCTGCCCGGCTTTCTCTTGCTGAGAGAAACCAGAGATGGACATTCGGATGGGTGGAGAAACACATCGGTTCAGCACCATAAATGCAAGCTGTCGGAAATTCCCTTACCTTTCTTTGTCCTGCTGTTGCCCCCCATGACTCTCCCTCCTCCCCTCTCTGCTCTCAGCTGATCCTTCCTCCTTCTGGGTCTTGTTACCTGATTGCCTGACTCATCCTCACGCTTGTGATGTGGTAGTTGCTTCGCTGGCCCTCACTTAGTACAACCTCCCTGCTATCTCTACTGCTTCTGAGCCTTGGTATCCCTCGATCAGCCCACTCGGCTTACTCACAACTACTTGCAACAGCTACTCACACTGCCTTCTTCCATGCTTTTAGTGCTTGTTATGGCCTGACCTTCACGCTCACATGATTCTGAAGTAATCACATGAGTTATACAGAACATACAAACAATGTAGAGGTCAAAGCCCGTACCCTCTATATTCGTGCCTGCTCCCACCCCCTATTGCTACACCTCTATGTTCCCTTGGAGATGATGACCTCCCACCGAAGCGGAGGGCCACCCTCTCCCATCCTCTTGCCACCGTCACTTAGCCGCCCTGCTGCCTGTCCTCCAGCTCGTGCCTGTAATTCCAGCTGGCTCGGGCATTCAACTTGCACGCGAATGAAACATTTGCATTTCACACAAAACAAAAGCTCCTTCCAGCTGTGGCCCTCCTCCCTTCACCCATGCGAGGGTTTGCTGACGCAGCAACCCACCTCCGGCCTTCCATCATCCAAACCTTGCTTCTCATCCTCGGTATTCATGGACACAGTTACCTGTACAAATATACACTATGTACACTCCCTTCTCTGTGCCGTAAACTTGCGACAGCTGTCGGAAACTCCCTTACCTTTCTTTGTCCTGCTGTTGCCCCCCATGACTCTCCCTCCTTCCCTCTCTGCTCTCAGCTGATCCTTCCTCCTTCTGGGTCCTGTTACCTGATTGCCTGACTCATCCTCACGCTTGTGCTGTGGTAGTTGCTTCGCTGGCCCTCACTTAGTACAACCTCCCTGCTATCTCTACTGCTTCTGAGCCTTGGTATCCCTCTGCCCCCTCCCGTGACCTTGTGCCGCCCTCGCCCTGGTCACGGGACCCTGATACCCGTCCACCTTGCCTCCTGCCCGCGCCACGTTCGTGATATGATCCACTGCTCGCACCCCTGACTCACTCTCCAGCACCAGCACTCCTGAATCTCGCACTTCCTTCACCGTCCAGCGTTACTGTGATAGTCCCACATCCAGCCCATCCTTCTTGGGGCGTCGTATGTACACCTCCTGTCCCTGCCGTAACGCCTGGGGTTCTCCGCCCGCCCTGTGCTCCTGCCGCTGCGTGTAGCGGTGTATGTCCTGTAATTGTGCCACATGCAGACTTTCCAAAGCCGCCGGCAGCAAACGCCGCAAATACTCTCCCCGGACTGCTGCCAGCACTGCCCATTTCTCTGACGTACCCGTCGTGACCACGTCTGTCAGAACTTGCGGTGCTCCCACTGGCAGTACTGCTTCTCGGCCAAAGAGGAGATGATAGGGTGATAGATCCTTCAAGGCTGCCTGCTTGCTAAACCTGTAGCCCGCCATGATCCAGTGGAGGTGCCTGTCCCAGTCTCGCTTCCTCGTTTCTCCGTAGGCTCGCAGCCCGCGCTTCAGGGTCTGAATGAGTCTCTCCGTAAGGCCGTCACTCTGCGGATGGTATCTCGACGTGGTGCGATGCGGAATCAGGCAGGAGGCTAGGAGCTCCTCGAACTCCCCTTGAAACTCGGTACCCTGATCTGTCAGCACCTCCCCGCAGGCTCCTAAGCGCGTCAGTACCTGCTCTTCGAAGGCATCAGCCACGGCCTCCGCTGTCTTGTGGCTCACGGCCCTCACTTCCACCCACTTGCTCATATGCTCGATCATGACCACCACATACCGCCGCCCTCGCTTGGTTAGCGGCAGTTCACCCGCCAGGTCCAAGGACCACCGATAGCCCAGCCCCACGATCGGCAGAGGCTGAAGCTCCGCCTTGCTCCGCTCGAATGCTGCTCGGTTCCTGATACATGCTGGCCACTTGGCAACCCAGTCCTTGATCTCTCTCCTCATTCCCGCCCACCACCACCCTGTCTGCAGCAGCTGCTGTGTGCGAAGTGGGCCAAAGTGCCCCAGCTTGTTGTGCACCTCCTGTATCACTCCCTCTCGCTCTTTTGGCTCGGGCACCCCTTTCCACCCATCCTGCATCCTGATCTGTATTTGGTTCTGATACCAGCGGTAGTGTTGCCCCCTGCTTCGAGCCCTCGCTGATACCACCGCTCCCTCTGTCGTTTCTCCCTTCAGCCACGCTAGCGTCTCCGGGTCTTCCCAGACATCTGGCACTCCTGCTTGCTGTTCCCTGCGCAGCGGTGTTGCGGGATCTGTCACCAACGCTACCAACGCCATCTCTGGTGCCACTGCCGGCGGAATCCTGGACAGGCCATCCACGTGCTGCATGGTCTTCCCTGGACGGTGGCGAATGGTGAACTGGTACTCTTGCAGCTTCATCGCCCACCTGGCGTTTCTTCCCGTGAGGCTCTGGTTCTGCATCAGCCATAACAGCGGCTGGTGAACTGTGACCAGCGTGAAGGGCCTACCTTGCAGGTATACGCGAAAATGCCCCACCGCCCACACTGCAGCCAGCCCCTCACCCTCGTATGATGAGTAATTAGCTTCTGCCGGGTTGCATGAGCGGCTGGCGAAGGCCACCACTTTCTCCTCCCCGCCCTCCTGCTGGCTCAGAATAGCTCCCATGCTTGTGCTGCTCCAATCCGTGTAGAGCATGAAGGGTAGGTCTGTCCTTGGCAGCTGGAGCACTGCGCCATTCTTTATAGCCCCCATCAGATCCTTGAGTGCCACCTTCTGCTGCTCACCCCACTGCCACTTTACATCGTCCTTCAGCAGCTTGTTCAGTGGTGCCGCCCTCCTGCTGAAGTTTTCCACGAACTTGCGGTAGTAGTTTAAGAACCCCAGCAGTGCCCTCAAAGCGCTTTTGTCCCTTTGGGCTGAGACACCTGGTCCAGAATGGCCACCTTGGCTTGTTGTATCGCCAGCCTTCCCCCTGTCACTTCAAATCCCAGGTATGTCACTGCCGTGTGTCCGAAGCGGCACTTCTTCGGGTGACAGGTGATTCCTACTTCCCTTATCCTCCGCAGGGCTTCGGCTAGGCGCTGCACATGTTCTTCTGGAGTGGTGCTGAACACGATCACATCATCGATGTAGCACAGCGCCCCCTCCATCCCTCGTAGGACCGCATCCATCACCTTCTGAAACAGCAAGGAGGCGTTCTTCAGACCAAAAGGCATCCGATTCCACTCGTATGCTCCGTCCGGGCCGTGGAAGGCAGTCTTTGCCTTATCTGCCTCCGCAATAGGGATCTGGTTGAATCCCTGCCTCATGTCCAGTGTTGAGAACACTCGTGCCCCTGCCAGCTGGTCGAATAGTTCATCCACCATGGGCGTAGAATATCTCTCTGGGACGGTTACCTTGTTCAGGTCTCTGTAGTCACCACACATGCGGCGTGCCAGCACCGTTCCTGTGAGATCCATCCTGGCAGCTACCACCGTCGCGGCGGCGTACTTGGATTCTGACCGCCGTATTAACCCTGCTTTCAGCAGTTCCAGGCATTTCTCCTTGCATATCTCCAGGTCCTGCGGACTCATTCGGCGTCTCCTTTGGTACACTGGTACCGTCATGGTCAATTCCAGTGTCATGACCGCACAGTTGCAGCAGCCCAGCTCCTTCAGCGTGTAGGCAAACGTCTGCTTGTGTGATGCTAGCAGGGCTTCAACTGCTCGCCGGTGCTCCCCTTGTAATCCTTCTCCCACGTCCCAGGTGCCCTGCTCTTCTTCCGGTCGTGTTGCCCGGTCTTCTGATCCTTCTGCTGTCCTTTCGTTTGCTGGTCTCTGCGGCCCAGTCTTGTTTGCAGTTGCATCCAGCGCCATGAATGCTGGTCCTAGGGGTGGCCAGTCCGGAGGATCGAAGTAGTCGTCATATCTTTCCCCCATATCGAAGTCAGAGTCGTGGAACTCCTCCGGTGTGTCCCCTCTGCCCAGTCCCGATTCTTCTTCCATCTCTTCCTCCGCCTCTTCTTCCCTCTCTTCCTCGCTCTCCTGTGGGTCTGCATATCGCCCTGGTATAGCTTCTCTGTCGTCCCTCCAGCTAGCGCGCCTGTGCTCCTCTGGGATCCCTCTCCACCACTGATTCTCTTCTTTCTCTTCGAGTCCTCCCAGCATTGTCCATGCTTCTGTTTCCTTTTTCGCTGCCAGTTGTGTCTGCGGCCTGATAGCCGTGGCCTTGCCAATGCGCCTCTCCAGCCACTTCCTCTCCAGGTGGTTGGCCATGGTCATGAACAGCCATTGTAGCGCGTTTAGATCCATAGCCCTGCCCAGCGCCGCCTTCCTCTCCTTCTCCGTCATTTGCTCGCAGGCTGTTGCACCTGCCAGGAAGCCCATGGCTAGTTCTCTCTCCTGCGCTGTCGGCTCTTCCCACACTCCTCGGGCCTGATCGTACACCATGCCTGGGCCCTCCACTCCCCCAACTTCTTTGAAGCCCCTCGCGTTCTCATTAGACACTAGCGTCGGCCAAGCCTGCCGAGGCTCTCCCACCTTGTTACATGGGTACAGTGTGGGGTGGTCCGCCTCCCTGACCGGTGCCGCTAGCCTCCCCGGTTCCAGAATATCTTCCACCCGCCTCGCCCTTGGTCGCTCCATCCGCGACAGCTGGTACTTGAGCGCCGCTTCTGGCACGACATTCTGCCAGTACCTCCTCGGTCGGTGTGCTCTGC